ACCAAGGTGACGTAGAAACGGAACCGTTGGTGGGGTCTGATTGGCTTTAAATAACAGTTACAGAAACTATCGATTCTCGCTTGCCCTTCTGGATACATCTATGATAATTTGAATTCTTGCCTTGATTGTATGACATTAGTGGGCTAAAAATTTCCCTTGTGACGGATCATTTCGGGTTGAATTATTTCAACTTTGTATGGTCCACTGTGTAGTGTTCCGATATTTCCAATTCTGCATCGCGCGTGGTGATAATCCCAGATGAATAGGACAAAATTAATCATTGACTAAGGGATCGTTTTCCTTAATACGGGATGAAACGGGATGGACTGCTAGTTGAAATTCCTTCGAGCAGAACGATCCTCAGGCTCCTAAGATGAAATATTTATCGTTCCTCATCGATATACAGCCGGAGGGCATATTACCGAGACGGAGAACGAGAAAAAGCGAAGAAAAGGAAATAGAAGTAAGTTTTTACTTGCCTTTGCCAGAAGATATTCGCTACAAGCCAGAAAAGATAGGGGCTTGGGTTGAATTAAATCACTGATACCTCCTCTAAATCATAGACACGTGATTTTGAAGATGCAAAACATTAGCAACCAAATATTGAAAACAGTGTGGATCTATGGATTATAGCTTTGGGTATCTAGTGATTTTCGAAAAGATGTATCCCTACTCCTCCAAAACACCGTCCAAACGCCATCCTGGAATTTTCAACTGCCACTTTTACGGTGAGTATAATACCATATTCACCACACCGAATTTGGGACTTTTTTTCATGAATCGCTGTATGCAAAAACAACCTGGAAGTATTAAGAGAGAAAGAGAGCGAGAAAATGAAAAACCTTTCTGGTTTATAATGGTAAATTATCACTGGTGAACAAAATTAAAATAATTTCTTGTGACGTGGACAAAACAAGGTGTTTATTATGTAAAACGTCCCCAAAAAGCCGGAAATAGCATTCGATTTTTTTTATCACCCACGCTTTCCTTGCAATAAGGCATTTTATTTGCTGCTTATACTCGTAAAATATAAGGATATGTGTGTAAGAGTTCTAGTAAACCCTCGAATAAACATTAATCTCACAATGTTGTTGTCGATGTTTTACGGCGGTATGTTGCTTCTGAAGTATCTTTTATCAATGTCCAGCAATAATCAGCAAGCAAATTGACACCCCATTTGCCTTGATACCGTTTTTCCATAGCAGAAATGTCTTGGTGGAACCGTTCACCATGTTCATCACTTACCGCACCTAAATTTTCCGTAACAAAATCGAGATGAGAATTCAAAAAGTGAATTTTTAGAGACATGTTACATCCCATTCCTTTATGAGCATTGATTAGTTCACTCACAATATTTTTATAATTGTCCGCCTTCACATTGCCTAAAAAATTTGCAGTAACTAATTTAAAAGCATTTCCAGCTCGTAATTCAGTTTCATTTAGAGCACTGTCAAATACATCATCCTTCATAATTTTCCGTATTTGTGGACCCACAAATATGTCCTCTTTAATTTTTGTCTTACTAAGTCTCGGAAATGTTTGTTTTAAATGCAGAAACCCTCTACCATTTCGATCCATCGCTTTCACAAAATTTTTCATCAGTCCCAACATAATATGCAAAGGTGGAAGCAACACGTTTTTGGGATCAATTAGTGGTTCATGAGCAATGTTTTTGAGGCCCGGAGTTAATACCTGACGTGGTGGTCACTTCTGTTCTAAATGACGATCTCGCGCACGACTGTACCATTCACAATGAAAACAAGAATATTTGGTATATCCCAGTTACATTCCAAGAGGAAGGGCTATTACCTTTAAATCTGCACATATGGACCATCCATATTCATTATAATGGATATGCTCTAACAGAACTCGCATATTTTCATATGAGTCCTTCATATGAACTGCGTGCGCTATAGGTACAGATGGATATTTATTACCGTTGTGTACCAATACCGCTTTTAAACTAAGCTTAGAGGAATCAATGAACAGGCGCTAATCATGTGGATCATGTTTTTGTCCTAACGCGTCAAAGTGTTGATATCGGAGCAATACATATCAACTCCCTTTCTTGACGGAAACACTGTTTGAGGTCTTGTTGCCATTTTTCGGAAAAAGTAATGTTAACAACCGTGGAGAAGATTCTATCCTTTTAATCTTGAAGCTAAAAGTTCTGACTGGGATTTTAAAAGAACTACGTCATTAAGTTCACCCTGTGAGATCGAATGCGGCGTTGTTGAACATCCTGGCAGCTCAAACGAAGGATCGGAAATGTTTACGCTTTCTGAACCATCATCATTTTCAGAATCAGTAGATTCGACTTTTTTATCCAAGAACCAAGATCCTGGTGGAACTGGGACAGAAAGTTCATCACTATGCTTAACGGGCCGCAAAGCTGATGGTAAATTAAAATACTTAACAGTATGTTTCAATTTTGGTCCAATTCCTTTAATATTTGTGAGGCAAAAATAGCAATCAGTAGTATGGTCTCTCGATTCTCTCCAAACCATTGGTACTGCAAAGGGCAGTTTACGATTGTCGCCTCTTAACCAACCTGTTAACAACGTTGCACAAGTGTTACAACATATATGAGGGGGGCCATAGTTTATCTTGGTCGCCAACTTTAATTTCAAAATAAAGTTCGTATGCTTTCAACACAAGGGGAGTAAAAGTACGTTTTTTGGATTTAAAAGTTAGCTCTCCGCACACGTAACAAAAACTGTTTGCACTATTTACTCAATTTCTAGGCATTGTCCATAAAGCTAGTCTCGATCACAACAAACTAATAACAACACACCGTTTTAACAAAAATTAACAGCACTCAAAATATCTCAGTACACTTCAACACAGAAAACGTAACTGACTCAACTGCTATTAGTCTACTAATAAAGGCAATATGCTCTCTGAACATAGAGTTCGGATATAATAAACGTCGAGAAATGCAGCAATATGATATGTCAAGTATTGTAATTCATAAAAGTAGATGTTACCGAATATCTGTGAGAAAAATTCTGTTTTCAGATTTGATTCAAGAGTCTCACAATAGATAAGATACAGCCAAAAATTGTCACAAATCCTGTGTTTATCGGTGATATTGAAAGCGGTGTGGATCTATGGATTGCAGCTTTGGCTATTCAGTGATTTTCGAAAAGATTTATTCCCACTCCCCAAAAACACCGTCCAATCGCCATCTTGGAATTTTCAACTAACACCTTCACGTTGAAGTATAATACCATATTCACCACCCCGAATTTGGGACCTTTTTTCAGAAATCACTATATGCAACAACTTGAAGTAACAGAAAAAGAGAGCCAGAAAAAGAAAAACTTTTCTGAACGGGACGGATTATAAAAGTGGTAGATTATTATATCCGTTGATATTGTTGATATATTACAAAAAAAAGCAATTAGAATTCTTGCGGGAGCTGGTTATCGTGACCACTGTATGCCACTCTTTATAAAATTAAATATGCCTACAATTTATTCAATGTACATCTATCAGAGCCTTGTTAAGATTCATAAGAACAAGCATAAATTCTCAATGCACTCGGATGTTCATGGATATAACACCAGGCATTCCAATCTACTTCAACCTAGCTCACAGGCTAAAGATTTCAGATAAAAGCTCACTTGATGTTAGGGTATATAACAAGCTAAAAAACACTACTAAGAATCTTACTTTAAAACATTTTAAAAATACACGTTGGCAAGAATTAGTTAAACACCCTTTTTATTCCTTGAATGAGTTTATCGCGACCCCCCTATGTGTGTGATCTGGCCTACTACACCTTTATATTATATTTTATTTTTACCAATTATAGTTTTATATGTAGAGGAAAGTGACCAAATATGGAATAGTCTCCGTTTATGGAATACGCAATTAATTTCTAAATTATTTGCGCCATCTGCCGTTTTTATGCCCGAAGTGGCGCCCCAAGGTTCAAAACCCATTACAGAAACCTGTAACCGTCGTTAAGTATCTGCAGTCTGTCAAAAATTGAGGTACAGTGAATCGCCGCCTACTAAAGTTTTTGCAGCAGGTTAGTATTGCCGAATTCGAATTCTGCGCAATATAATACAATGTAGGATGACGGCTTAGTCTATTGCTAGCCTAATTTTTCCCTTGATAAAAGCGTGTCAGTTCATAACATGATTAACCTCCAAATGCGTGGCGTTCCTAATATGGAATATCAACAAGGTCCAGTTATGGAATATATTCCATATTAGGTGCACTATTTGTTTAAACATAAATAATGGTTTCCGTTTGTATTCAGACATGCCTAAGTCAAGGAAAGGGAAAAAAGAAAATGGAAGAAAATTGTGGGAGAAAGGAAGCATGGAGGAAGCAGTGGCAGCAGTTAGGGATGGTAGAATGGGGTATTTAAAAGCATCAAAACAATTTAATGTGCCACGAAGCACCCTTTTCCGGTTTATGTAAACAACACGGAGAGCCAGTTACGGTGTGTGACACACGGTTAGGACGAAAACCAGTCCTCTCAATCGAGTTAGAAAATGAACTTGCAGATTATTTGCTTCATATGGACAATCGTTTCTTTGGGTTGACTAGAACAGATGTTCGCAGAATGGCATACCAACTTGCAGTTGCGAATGGCATCGAGCACAGATTTTCTGAACACCTCGGGCAAGCAGGGAGGAAATGGTTAAAGGCATTTTTGAAAAGACATTCAAACTTAACACTCAGAAAACCTACCGGGACATCATTCGCCAGAGTAGCAGGATTCAACAAAGCAAGTTAATGCATTTTTCGATCTTCTGGAAGCCGAAATGGAGAAAGTCCATTATCCTGCAGATAGGGTATTCAATGTTGACGAGACGGGTTTGACAGTGGTACAATCAAGGTGCAGCGAAGTAATTTCTTGAAAGGGTAAGCGACAAGTGGGATCGCTAACATCCGCTGAACGTGGTTCATTGGTGACGGTTATCATGTGCATGAATGCTGCTGGTACATTTATACCACCAATGATAATATATCCCAGAAAAAATATGAATGTTCAGCTTCAAAAAGGAGCACCTCCAGGCTCTCTATTCGCATGCCATCCATCCGGATGGATCCAAACACATTTGTTCACAGAATGGTTTCACCACTTTCTTACTAAAGTGAAACCATCAAGGGATGAACCGGCTCTTCTAATTTTAGATGGGCATAACACACACACTCGAAATTTAGAGTTCTTGCGCTTAGCAAAGCAGAATGGGGTAACCATAATATGTCTGCCTCCTCATACCACCCATAAACTGCAGCCATTAGACAAACGTGTTATGGGTGCACTCAAGGCCCATTACAATGAGGAGGTTCGTGTATTCAAGCGAACCTATAAACGTCCCATCACACAGTATGATATCACAGAAATCTTCGGCAGGGCCTACCTTAAGATACAGTGTGGTTCCAATGCTGTTAAAGGATTCGAGACGACAGGGCTATATCCGGTCCGCAGGAATAATTTCGACGAATCTGATTTTCTGAAAGCTGCACAAGAAGGCTCTGATGATGAATCTACCGCTGCAGTACCTGAACAATCTGAGACTAACACGGCAACAAATCCCACAGTAATTGAGCAACTGTACGGTAGACCGAATACCCCAGCGGTAGAAACGCACGTGACCCCACATGACATTTTACCACTTCCCAAATTGCAACAAAAAAAAGGGACACGAGGAAGGAAACCCGGTCAGGCCAAAATTATCACGTCTTCTCCCTATCTTAAAGAATTGGAGACATCATTGAACGTTTCTAAGGAAAAAGTTGAAGCAGTCAAACGAAAACTTGGGGCCCCCAAAAAATCAAGGAAAGTTCAACCATGCCCTCAACGTGAAACCGAAAGTATCCTAACTCAGCCAAGCACAAGCGGGCTGCATTTAGTGGCCTCCAAACAGAAGGCGAGGAATAAGAGAAGGTCATCAAGTTCTACTTCTTCAGAAAAATCTGAAGCACTGCATTATCAAGATTCCTCCGGTGATGAACTGACTCAAGAAACTACAGTAGATCCTGACGAGGATGCCATATGCGGATATTGTGATGGGAAATTTTCTGAAGACCAAAGGGGCGAAATTTGGATACAATGCATATTGTGCCTTCAGTGGTTCCACGAACAGTGTTCTGGGCATACCGAAGCAAATTTGTGTGCGATTTTTGCAAGTAAAATCGCTTCTGTTCCAGTGTAAAATTTCTGAAATGTTTTAAGTTTGTTTAATGTTTGTTATGTAGATAATATTCAGTTCCGTTTTTTTTTTTGTATTTTATGTTTATCGTTATGTAACAGAGTTCTATTTGATGTTTAGTTCTGAAAATATAGCATTTCTATGTCTTTTTTGATGAGAATTTGGTGTATTCCATATTAGGTTCCAAGGTATTCCATATTAAGGACACATTTTTGAAGTCGCCAAGAATGCACCTTAAACAATATTTCAGTTTCTGAACAGGGAAAATGACGTATTTTGGCCAAACATTGATATGACTTTTTCATTATGCTCCGTTACACCCAACAGTATTGAGAAAACGAAAATTAATTGAACTATGGTCTGAATACAGTCAAAAACAAAAATGGTATTCCATATTTGGTCACTTTCCTCTATTGTATACGTCATCAGTAGTTTTCAAGAAGTTATTTTTATGTGTTATGCATACCAACAATTTTTATGACAAGTGTAAAAACAAATGTTTTGTTAATTGGCACGTAATATATATTCTATTCTATTCTATAGGCCCTTATAAAAGACTAATAAACCTATCTACACATGACACTGTTGAACGCTGTTCTTAATAAACTAGACATCTAATAATACTACCGTCGTTCGTTCGACCAAACAAAGGATTAACCGTGTAGGAACCATCTGTTTCATGCTTAGTGGCAATAATCAGAAAGGTCTATGTCTCTAGGAAGGAGAATGAACGAAAGCAGATTTCCTTGTAAACTATAATGAAAGATGCAGGATACATTCACACACAGGGAGGATTGAAATAAAGCCAGAATCCAGAAACGAAAAAAAAATGAAGAATCTTCTTTCTCTCTGGTCCGTTTGTGCGGGTTTTAGAGGAGGACTAGCAAAGTAGCGTTACAGAGTAGGGAAGGAGCACTTCCTTTTTCCGGTGTTTCTCAGTCGACGGGTTGGCCGGGAATATATTATAAGGAGCAAGCGCGCCAGCTTCTAGCTACAGCGAGCATTAGAGCATTTCGCCCAGTAAATCTGAACGTAGCTTTTCGAATGAATAAAAACTTCCCCGCAGCACATAAATAAGCTTAGATGTTGGTTTTATACTTTCGCGGCTGTCTACATCAGGTCTACTACTTTTTAGATAGAATCTGGATGGAAGCATAACAATAATTATTTATAGAAATATACGTGAATGTACTATGTCTATAAAATACATGACACAGATAAATAACAAAGTGATAATATCATAATAAGCATTATAAGCGTAATAAGCAATAACATGTTCCACTAGAAGATACCATACTGTCTCTAACTAATTTTGCTTACAACTATTTTATGTGCCTGTTAACCACCGTCTTTAGCCGGAAGAGTTGCCATATCTATGAGTTTTGAGCAGCTTATACGATTTCGTTTTCCGTCGTTGAGTAATGCTGAGAATACGAAATCGTAGAAATAATTGTCAAGGGGCTTGAGGAATGATTTTTCCTTGAAACTTTGATATGTTTAAGAATAAACAGCTTACTTTATTCGTGTCTTACAGTCAGCGCATGCGGACTAACAAAACGGCTAATTCTTCCTGTCATTTTCTTGCAACTGCCAGGGTCCTTCCTTCATGAAAATCAATCAGTTGGATTGTTCATGTAAATTTGTCTGCAATTCTGGTGGAATATTTGGTAACTCATAAGTTACCAATGCATGCGAACGTTCCTAGGCTGGTCCGTTGGTTTGTTTGGTTATATTTATAGATAGATTCTATGTTTTCTTGAACAACACTTAAATGTCTTAGCATTGTCAGATCGATGGAGCACAATATTTGAAACACATTCCCGATAAAAAAAAAGAAATACAATAAAATTGACTAACTGAAATTATATACCCATTTTCAGTTCTTCACTACTTAATTATTTACAGTTATACGTTTGTTTGTGTTCTGGAGTTTGATTGTCGGCGATTGAAACTAGTCTTTGAACATTAAAACGATGTAGTCTGAAGGGTAAAAAACCAAAACCAAAATTATAGGTTAAGAATGCGGCAGGAAATATTTCATTCGTTTAGGTTGGCAAGTGATTGAACGCAATTACCTTGCAGACAAAACAAAACGGTTTTTAAAATGGAGGTATGTTTTCATTATTCCTTGGATACAAGACTAAGATGATAGAAATCGTATGTGTACGTGATACATAATAGGGTTGGGGACCTTGACCCTAGAGAAATACTATCTGCAAAATTCAAGTTCAGTTCCAGGCTTTAAGGATGACATCCTAAACTTTTTTTTAAATTTATAGAAGCTGTATATGTAAAACACGGGCCCAAAATTGTTACAAGGATAGTTCTACAGTTGATGTTTTGTCCTTAAGTAGTGCAATTCGGGTGCCTTCGACAACTAATAGCCACTTAGTGTTCATTTAGTTTTTCATCATTGGCCTTATATGCTAGTTCATATAAGACGAATGGAAGTGTAATAATGAACAAGGTGTTTTGCTACTGACTAAAAATTGAAGACTCATTGCTTAGACTATACATAAAATACCCCTAGTGGATTGTAGGAGTGAGAAGGTGGCACTTTAGGTTGAATAATGGCTAGGCAGCGATTTATATCCTACGTTCTCGGTCTCGGTTTGGTTTTTACAGCGCACCTTTACCGCTACTACCAAGGTAATTAGAGGTCTACCAAACTTCGACCTACGCTATCAATTACAACTCAACATTTCAACTTTTAAGTAGATGAATGGATAGACTTTTTCAACGACATAAAGGTTTTTCAGCAGATAATTTGTTCACGACCAATTATTTCTGGATAGTTGCTTATATGTACTTGGTGAGTATGGTCCAATATCATATCGTTTTTTACATTTCATAAAAAACTGTGCAGCCGTTTCCAAGAAAGCCTGATCAAAGGTCCATCAGAAGCAGCCAATAAATGGTTTAACATTCGAATATCTCCGAGATCACAATGCTCACTTATGTTTGGGAAGAAAGAGGAGTGCATTTTTTCTTTGTTCGCCGATCTAGTGTAATCCAAAGCTGAAGAGAGTTTCAAATGCTTGAGTTATTCACACCTTCACGAACAAAACTGGAAGCCCTATTTTACATGACACTGCATCTACTTCGTATCATTTAAAGTGTAGTGCGATTAAAATTTATGTTCTCAAATTCAGCACGAGCATCCTTCGTTTTGTTTGCCTGAGAATTTTATAGCCATATAGGGGACATTGAGTCGCCGAGATCTAAATCATATTACATCTCGTAAAATAAGTAACTCGTAAAGTAGATATGCTGCTTTCGTTCATCCGACCACATACAGGTGTTTCGTGCTTTTTGGCAACTCATCGACATGGTCTAGACTTTGTCTCAGGTGGACAACGAGCGAAAGCAACTCCTATACAGGGTTATCCAAATTAAGTGTCCACCATTAGTAACTTTGTTATTAGTGAAAATACAAAGTTGTTTGAATTATCAAACTAGTAGCATTTTTAACGCTGGTAAAAATGAGAAATAAAAAAAAACAATTGAGAGTCGTTATTTTGATTTTTTTCAGTAAAATAACATTTTTTTAAATGGAAACCCCTGTATATTATATTTTTTTCTGTTAAAGCATCAAATTTTAAACAAAAAAGCTTACAATAACTTTTCTCCTAGGTTACAAATTGTTGAAGTTATGGCCTCCAATCTGAAACAATTAAATTGTATCGACAAACTTTATTTTCAACATCAACTTATAATCTTACAAAATACAATAACAATTTTTTTTAAAGAAGATGCTCGAAAACACCACCTTGTTCTTCAATACATTTTTGGGAACGTTTTTCAACTGCTCGAACTGTCTTAAGTATGGTCCTACCATCTATCTGGGTTATCTTTTCCCTAACTGCAGTCTTTAACGCGTCAAGGTTATCGTACCTTCGCTTGTAAATTTGGTTCTTTAAGTAACCCCACAAGAAGTAATCAAGTGGGTTTAGATCTGGTGATCTGGGAGGCCACTGTACTGGGCCATTTGTTCCTATCCACTGATCATTAAAAGTAGTACTTAGAAAATGATAAGTACCTCTGGAGTTGTGGGCAGGTGCGCCATCTTGCTGAAAATGCAGATGATGTCTACTTATAAGATCCAATTCGTCTAAGAAATTAGTCAGAATTTCTGACATAAATTCCACATATCTTTCACCAGTTAGGGTTCCCTCATAAAAGAACGGGCCAACAATTTTTGAACCAATTATACCGCACCAAACGTTGAAACTGAAACGGACTTGTGGGCCTCTTGGATGTACTAACAAAAGATTTTCTCTTGACCAATAATGGTGGTTTTTTCTATTAAACATTCCAGAATTTGAAAAATTTGATTCATCTGTCCATAAAAGGTAACGAAAGTTATTTACATTTTGGCGACAGAAGCTAAGATACCAATGGCAAAAAACAAGTCTTCTCTCTGGATCCCCTGCCAAAAGCGTTTGAACTGGTCGGTACTTATACGGAATAAATTTGTATTTTTTTAAAATCCTTTGAACAGTATCATAACTGAAATTAGAGTCCTTGAGAATATCTGCTATTGAATTCTCACGATAAGCTTCAAAATATCCAATAACTGCAATTTCCGTGGCCTCGCTTATTATGAATTCTTTTTTTGCCCTTGTTTTAGCAAAAACATTTTCGTTGCCCCTAAATTTTCGATAAAGTCTCAGAAAATATCGTTCATACGGTTGAATGCGAGCGGGATATAATTCACTGTAGTATTCTCTTGCTCTCAAGGAGGATTTTCTGCACACTAAATAGCATTCTAACATATCACACTTTTCTTCATGGGAGAACATTTTTCTTTAAATTAATGACACAATAAAGCTTATAAACAAGTATTTACACTAATGTTTGACATTATTTGATTTTATCATTGTTTTCCAAAGCCTTCTAGTTGCGAGTATGTCCAGTTTAACAATTTGTCGCTTATCTTAATGCTGTCAAATCGCGAACGCCATGTTGTTTTCATAGCCGTCTTAATATTATAATACTGCAAA